TGCACATTGTTTTTCTTGGCCCTACTTACTTCACTCTGCATCAGTTCATATAAATCTTTCCATGCTTCTCTGTGGTCATTATATTCATTTCTCATAGCACAGTAACATTCTATTACATTCAAGTACCACAAGTTGTTTTGCCGTTTCCCAATTGATGGGCATCTACTTTGTTTCTAATTCTTTACTATCCTAATAAGTGTGGCTATAAATATTTTGATGTACATTGAGATTTTCTTCTTATCATTGGCTTCCTTGCAGTACAAGCCTAGCTGGTTATGGAATCAAGGGGTATGGACAACATTAGGCTTTTATTAAATACTTCCTGTATCACTAGCTCTAGTCAGAACCCAAGTTTGAGTCCTTACATCTCACACTTGCTCTGTGACCTTGGTCAAGTCATTTAACCTTAGTAAGCCTTGGTTTCCTCTTCTCTAAAACGAGGAGGTTGCACTGAAGTCTCTTCCAACCATATCCTCTATCCAGGGCTAGATCCTATGTTACACCTCCAGGGAGTTTTATGTTTTTCACAGCTTTTTCCCATCTGCCTCTTTAGAATGTGAAGCAGGGACTGGTTTTGTGCTTTTCTTTGTATATCCACTGCTTAGCACATTGCCTGGCACATAGTAAGCACTTAAGCTAGTTACCTGACCAGACTTGACATGAGGTCCCTTCCATTAATAGCACTGTGATTCTACTTCCTGATTGTGCACTTAAAGGACCCTGTGACAGAAGGAAAGTTATCTTCAGCCCCATTTAACCTAATAGGAAACTGAGTCTCAGAGAAGATTTACTTGTTTAATGTCATCCAGCTTGTTACTTACAAAGCTAGGACTATTCTCCCTTTCCCTCACTCCCTCTTCATGAATCTTAAGCTTATGCTTATCTTTCTGGGAGCCTACACATTTCAGGGGACATGGTGTGCTCTGTGGTCTATCCAAATCTGTAAAGTAGTAAATAGTGTTATAATAAGGCTCCATTGTTTATTCATTTTTGTGGAGGCAGAGCACAAGCCATCAATCCTCTCTCCACCCACCCGCCAGAGGCTGGGAACAAAACCACCAGGCCAGTCTTACTTCCCTGGGAACAAATTTTGCAGAGGCACAAACTGTCAAATGAGCATTCCTTTTGCAACCTTGGGACTAGCTAGTTCTATATACACTCCTATATCAGAATTCCGCTTGCTTAGCCCTCCCCCTTCCCTATTGCCAACACGTGTCTCCAGCCTACCTTCCCACCTCCCACTTTCCTAATTAAACGTCATATACTGTTATCCCTCCCTGCTGCTGTCTCTTCCAGGAGTACCATCCCTATCCAGTCTAATACTCCCCCTACCCTAGTTCCTCTATCTCTCTTTCCACTATGCCCTTGGGAACCTGTTCTGTTGTAAACAAACTGTCACACGTCCTCTACCATTCCTTTAACCATTTCACCTAAAATGAACGAACCCTGTCTTTTCCCTAACAACACCCCTTCCCGGGGGAAGAAGGAGGGTGTGACATTTTACTTGCTCCCCATTGCTATGTCTTAACCGTTGTTCTGCCACCATCTCTCCAAAACCTATGCTCTTTTGGAAATTTACAGCATCACCTTGTACTATTGTCTCCCCATCTTTGTGGCCATTGACTACAGACTTCCAGGATAGCTTCCTCAAATCCTTCTTCTGCTAAGCACCAACTTCTTCCCCAATCTGTGACCGACCATCCTGCTTAGTTAATGCATGGTTAACATTTGATAAGCCTCCTTAACACCCTGAACACATAATTTCTTGAACTGTAATGACCTTCATCTCCACTCTGTCTCAGCAACCCATCAGTATGGCCCAACCATAGAGATCATAATCATTCCCTTTCCTGATAATGGCCTACTAACCATATCTTCCTCTCCCATAGACTGCATTTGCTTCTGGTCATCATCATGGCCCCTCAACACCTCTGTATTATCCAGTCTATTAGTTTCTACTTGGTCTCTCCTTTGAGGCTGGTTGCCATGGTCAGCCAATCAGAGATCAGCATTCACCACCATTCTAGAATCCCTTGCCCCCTTGACATTTCTCCCATTTGAGAACGGCAAACTATTAAAGTGTTCACCAAGTATCAAACTAAGTATGGGGGATGCAAAGAGGAAAGCAAGAGAGTCCCTGCCCTGCAGGGAGCCCACATTCTAATTAGGGGTCATAACAACACGTAAAGGAGGATTCACGTCCATGTTCAGGTCTTAGCAGATGGAAAGGGCAAGTAACATTTTAGGTTCTGACAGGGAAAGTAACAGGAGCTAAGACAAATGACTAACAGGAGACAGAATACAAGAGTTAGGAGAGAAGTACAAACCAGATACTATGGGAAAGTCAGAAGGGGAACAGGGAAACCTCAGATTCAACAAACATATCAAACATCTGTTACATGCAAATACTACAGCATATGTGCAGACACAGGGGATAAAAAAAAATTGAAAAACCAAACAGGCCCTACCCTCAAGGAATCTATAGTCTAATGGAAGAATAAGACAAATATACAAATAAACTTGATGCAAAGTAGAATGAGATAAGGACAAAGGAATAACACTCCAGACATCACCCAATTTGGCTCCAGGAGGGAATAACATAATCAGGTATAGAAATCTAACTTGCCCTATAGGCAATAGGAGGGAAAAGGGGAAAGATAAGGGAGGGGAGATAGTAGGGAGGGAAGAAGTAGGAAGGGGAAAGGGGAAAAAAAGGGAGGGGGCTAATAAAAGGGAGGTGGGACTGAGGGAGGTGGTGGTCAAAAGCAAAACACTAGTGAAGAATGAAAGGGAGAAAGAAAAGCATAAACAGGGGGCAAATAGTTTGGAGAGAAAGACACAGATAGTAATCATAACTGTGAATGTGAATGGGATGAACTCTCCCATAGAAGTGAATAGCAGAATGGATTAAAAATCATAATCCTACAATATGTTGTTTACAGGAAACACAATTGAAACAGAGGGACACACACAGGGTAAAAGTAAAAGGCTGGAGTAGAATATATTATGCTTCAGCTGAAGTGAAAAAAGCAGGGGTGGTAATCCTGATCTCAGACAAAGCAAAAGCAAAAATAGATCTTATCAAAAGAGATGAGGAAGTAATCTACATCTTGCTAAAAGGCACCATAGACAATGCAGTAATATCATTACTAACATATATGCACCAAGTGGTTTAGCATCCAAATTCTTGGAGAAGTTCAGGGAGTTACAGGAAGAAATAGACAGCAAAACTATACTAGTGGGGGACCTCAGCCTCCCCCTCTCTGAACTAGATAAATCTAACCACAAAATAAATAAGAAAGAAATTAAGGAGGTGAATAGAATTTTAGAAAAGTTAGGTATGGTAGACTTCTGGAAAAAAACTGCATAGGGATAGAAAAGAATATGCTTTTTTCTTGGCGGTACATGGCTCATACACAAAAATTGACCATGTGGTAGGGCATAAAATCTCACAATACAATGCAGAAAGACAGAAATATTAAATGCATCCTTTTCAGATCATGATGCAATAAAAATTATATGTAATAAAGGACCATGGAAAGATAAACTAAAAAATAATTGGAAATTAAATAATCTAATCCTAAAGAATGAATGGGTCAAACAACAAATAGAAACAATCCATAACTTCATTCAAGAGAATGACAATAATGAGACAACATACCAAAACTTATGGGATACAGTGAAAGTAGTCCTTAAGGGGCACTTTGTATCTCTAAGTGCTCACATGAATAAAATAGAGAGATCAATGAATTGGGCATACAACTAAAAAAACTAGAAAAAGAATAAATTAAAAACCCTCAATTAAATACCATATTGGAAATACTGAAAACCAAAGGAGAAATTAAGAAAACTATTGAACTAATAAATAAAACTAAGAGCTAGTTTTATGAAAAAAAAACTAATAAAATAAACCTTTGGTTAACTTAATTTAAAAAAAAAAACAAAAACAACAAATTACCAGTATCAAAAATGAAAAGGGTGAATCCACCACCCAAGGAAGAGGAAATTAAAACAATAATTAGGAACTATTTTGCCTAACTGTACGCCAATAAATTTGACAATCTTAGTAAAATGGATGAATATTTAAAAAGTTAAAATATCTTTTAGGCAATGGTATGAGGATTGGGTCTAGAACAGACTGTTAGAAGCCATCAAGTCTTACCAGCTCATTTTATAGATAAGGGAAAAGATGCCAACTGAAGTTGTAATTTGCCCCCAGTCAGTCATGTATTAAGTAGATAAGAACCTTCCATCTGGCTCCAAATTCAACTTTTGAAGGCCTCTGCTTCCAGACATTACCCCTACCCCACACACAAATGGCACGGTGCAACATAAAGGCCAAATAATCTATACCTCTATTTTTGGATTCTATTTTAGTTACTCTCATGCCACTGGGTGAACACGGTTTTGAGAGGGCTCTTCTCTCTTCTCTTGGGCTATAACCTCTTTAATACCCAGAGGCAGTTTGCATTTTATAATTGGGAGAAACAAAGAATTTGCAAAAACCGGAAAATAAAGTGATAGACTGTTTTAGAGAATGGAGACTGTACACATTTTTATAATGAAATGTTATGCACATACCTAATATTTCTACCCAATATATTTTAATAAAACATACAGGACAAAGTAAAACGCAACATTACATGACGGAATGCGATGTCATGGGATAGATTATGCTTGAAGCCCCTTTTTCCTGTGCTTCCCGCCGCTCCTCCTCCCCCAATACAGATAAGGTTTTTTCCCTTAGTCCAGCAGAAAGCAGCAGGTGACAGGACTTTCACGGATGGCCTTGGGAAAGGCTAAAAAGGGAAGGCGTAGCTCCTGCGGCCCCGGGACCCCTGCGCCACTGTCTAATTCGGGGCCGTCCCGCCCCCTGACCTTTCGGCTCCGCGTGGGGCCCCACCGCCTGTTCCCGGCAGCCAATGGACAGCGCCCGGGGGGTGGGTGGACGCGAGGTGGGGAACTGGCCATATAAGGCTCCCCTGGAGCGGGGCGCGAGTTCGAGGTGTGTCGCCTGCTTGCCCTGCGGGTGGTAGCCAGCCGTTTGCGCCGGCCAGGCGGAGACCATTACGATCGCGGACCGGCCGTCCTCGGGGAGATGCTGCGGGTTCGGTGCCTGCGCGGCGGGAGCCGGGGGGCCGAGGCGGTGCATTACATGGGATCTCGGGTGCGTACTCCCCGCCGCTCCCCTCCGCCCTGCGCCTCGCGGAGCACCCTCGGAGGCACTGTGACGTTGCCTCGACTACCCCGGCTGGACGGGGTCCCATACGGGTGCCCCCGAGGCCCGGGATGGGTGGTATGGGACGGGACCGGAGACAGCGGGATGCGCTCCGCGTCCTCCTGCGTGCCCGCCTGACCACGGCTGGCCTGGGAGAGGTGGGCGGGGCGGGGCCGATGCGGGGGTCTGGGAGGGGAGCGGAGCGTCGGGAGACTCGGTACTGGGATTGCAAAATGGGAGTTCTGAGAGGGGGAGAGAAAGCGCGAGGCCGGGCTCATGGTGGCTCCCTCTTGCAACAGGAGAAGCTCAGACCGCGCCCCGCAGCTGGCAGGAGCAGCCGCCCCTCCTCCCTCCGGCGGCGGGCCTCCCGACCTTCTGCTCCCAGAGCCCCGCGGCGGCCCGTGCAGCCTGCCAGTGCCGGGCCTGGACCCAGGGCTCTTTCTCCTGGCCACGCTGAGGCTCCTTAATCTTTAATTCTTGATTTCCTCCTCCCTCCCCCCTTTTCCCCTCGTCATTAAGTGTCCTGACTTAATCTTAATTCTTCTAAATTCTAAACTCTGGGCTGTCCCAAAATGAAGCAGTGCGTTGGGACGTTGGGGGCAGGGACACCAACTTTCAGAAATGAGGAATAGGTAGGTAGGTTGGATCTCATGGAAGAGAATGCCCTTTTGAAATGCTGTCACCACAGTTTGTTTTGCAGAAGAACCCTATCGTCGATAAACTCCGCTATTAAAGGCCAAGAAGGGCAGAGCCTGGTGAAGAGAGCATAGGATAGATAGGTTTTGCCACTGACATTCAAGGCACCAGCAAACATTAAAAAACATTCACTAAGTTTGTAGTGCTGTACTAAGACCGCGGCAATAGAATATTGAAAATCGACAAAGGCCCTGCCTTCAAGGAGGCTTCGGTTTAGTTTGAAGACAGAGCTGCGCGAAGTGGACAGGAGAGGTTAAACCGAAGATTGGGAGAGTTGACTAGGAATCCCCTTGAGAAGGGAGAATGGGAATGCGGGGGGCAGGCGGCAGCTAAGCTAGGTCTTGAAGAGGGTGATTTCAAGGGAAGATGTGGAGGTGTGGGGAAGGGCAGGCCTCCATACAGGAAGTAGGTGGCCTGTGCAAATCGGTCATTCTGAGGAATAATAATAATAAATGTTTTTTGGGATATATTATGCTTGAAGCCCCCCTCTCCTGTCCTTCCCCACTACTCCTCCCCCCAACACAGAATAGAGCAGAGATGCATATAGTTTGTATATAACATGTATAATACTCTTTCCTCTTTGAAGCTCGGAAGAGTTTTTACAGGATGGGTGCAGCGAACTTTCCAGAGCACCCAGGCTGCAGCAGCCTCCAGAAGCTCCTTTGCTGCTGATGACAAGGCCACAGATCCTGTTCCTAAGGACTGCCCTGTCTCTTCCTATAATGAATGGGACCCACTTGAGGAGGTGATTGTAGGCAGAGCTGAAAATGCCTGTGTTCCACCATTCACTGTGGAAGTTAAGGTAAGACCTGTGCTCTCCAAGTGTGTACGTAAGTGTGTGCATGTGCCAAATGTTTTGTGTGTTGGTTATAGGTGTCTTGTCCCAGCATTTCCTGTATGCAATTTAAGTTGTACATTTTGCAGCGTAGATGCTGCCTCAAATATAAAATCACAAAATCAGGTAAACAGATTTTTCTTGGGAAGAAATCTAGAGTTCTCAACATCAGTCTAGCAAAAGTTTTGCAGCTTTTCAGTGCAAAAACTGCTGAGTTACCATATTGAAGTGAAGATGGAGGGCAGTACTTTCTTCTAAAGCTATCTTTTTGTTTGTCTTAGAGCTCAGGATGGTGGACTGCCTGCTGGTCACAATCCTGGGTTTTAGGCATGGATCTGCCACTCTCTGCTTAAATGGCCTTAGGCAGGTTGCTTAACCTTTTGTGCTCTTGGATCTATAATATGAAGGTGTTAAGCTAGAGGTCATCTAATGTCCTTTGAAATATCTTCTTCAGCTCTCATTTGGTGGGTAAGTTAGAAGATAAGAAAAATGTATGAGAATCATTTCAGTTATGATCATAGAAGCTTCTCTCATTTTACGTAAAAGGAAGCAGATAGAGGTTAAGTGACTAAGGTTACACAGCTAGCAATTGTCTCAGGCAGGATTTGAATCCATGTCTTCCTGAATCTAAGTCCATTGTTAAGTCCATGCATGCAGTTTTTCCCAGCTGCCCTATTTGTCTTTTCCTTCCCTTTCTTCCCCCCCTCTTCCTTCCCTTCCTCTTTTTCTCCCTTCACCCCATCTAATTCCCACCCCCCTCTTGTCAACACTTGAGCTCAACAAACTTTAGACAATATTATATGAGCAAAATTCCAAGGTTGCTAGAAAATTCACTTAATTATTAGGGTTATCACATTTTTTCCACTGTAGTCTTAATTCTTGCTTCTTCATCTTGGTGTGAGAGAGGTGGTTTTCCTAGAGGCTTCCAGTGGAGCATGGGTTCTGTCAGGTCCTACCAAGCCAGAAAGGCCTTGAGTGTGGTCTAGCCATAGAGTCTGTAGGTCTGTTATCTGAGGAACAGCCCAGCAAAGTGTGAAGAGTCTTATCACTACATTGATTTGGGGGTCATTTTTTTTTTTGTACTTTGGTAATGCTCAAAGAATACCTACCTAGATAAAGCAGGATTGCGATTTGCAGTTGCATTGAAGAAAATGGCCTATAAACAAAAACTAGATTTTTATAGTAAGATAAGGCAGTCCTTTGTAGGATTTTACCTGTGCTTTAAAAATTAAGTTTTTGTTCACATGTGACTATTAAATCTGGATGTGTGAGAGGAGAGGTACCAGGAGGATTGAATGGAAACTTGTAGTCTTCTGGGAGAAGTGAACATGTAGACTCATGATATAGGATGAGAGAGAAAGTAAACTGATTACCCCCAGCCACACTGTACTTCTGTCCTGAAGATATCCATAGAATCTCAGAATGGAAAAGGCTCAGAGGCCATCTTCTCCAACCCCTACCCAACAAATGGGCCACCAACTTTTGCTTGAAGGTCCCCAGTGAGGGGTAACCCTATTATCTTAGGCAGGCCATTCTATTCTTTGACAAGTGTTTCTGTAACTGTTTTTTCCTTAATTGCAATTTCCAAACTGCATGAGTTTGTTTTTCTGTAAATAGAAAGTACAACTGTTATTGTACTATTATTGGGGCTATTAGTCTAGCATAGATGTCTTATTCAGTTAACATGCCTTTATTAAGTACTGGCTCTGGGCTAGATACTATGCTCCATGCTGGGGATACAGCCTCAAAAGGGAACAATCTCTGCCTTCTAGAAGCTTACACGTGAAAGGACCTGTATGTAAACCTCAGAGAAAGAGTGTGTGTCAGTCCATATCAGAACAAGGAGAACGTTTTTCTATTTTCAAGTAGGGCATGGTATCATAACAACATAGGATATAGAACTAGAAGATCTTTTTTGATCCAACCTCCTTGTTTTTACATATAGAGAAACCGAAACTTACTAGATTAATTGCCAGAGCTGGAATTTGAACCCATGTCTCCTGCCTGCTAAGCCCAGAACCTTGCTGTCTCTTGGTGCTTTTCTTAAAGTTGTCTTGATGTCTTGGTTTTTATGGATATTCATATCCCCATTGAAATTCAGTTCTTTTTAGCAAGTCAAAACAATTAAGCAGACAACAACTCAAACACAGGCCATATGTGACAGGCCATGCAATGTTCTCCTATCATTTCCTGCCTCTCTGCCAAGAAGAGTGTTTATTTTCTGGGTTCATTACTAATTTTTCTATTACCTTAGAGGGAATGTGAGCCAAGGGCAAGGAGGTGGGCAAGTCTCTGTTCTTTCTCTGGTCACACTCAGACCTGACATCAGCTCTACCCTACATTGCCCCAGGTTTAGAAGGCTGCCCACTTGTGGCAGGGATGAGGAACCTCTGTGGTGGGAAAAGCCCTGGCTGTGGGGGCAGAAGCAGACCAGCTGCTTATTACTTAGGTGGCCTTAAGTCAGTCCCTTAGCTTCTGGGTCTCACTTTTCCTCAGATCTGTAAATGAGGAGTTGGACCAGATGGCCTTTTGAGGTCCTTTTTAGCCCTAGCTCTGTGATCCTAGAACTTCTTAAATGATATTTGAATTCACATTGTTGCAGTCACCAAGAATGTTCTTCTGCACCTGTTTATTGCATTGGATTGTGTCTCTGAATTAGATTAATTATTGCTTTCTATGAAATACTTCATTACATTCATATAATATGGCTGGTGTAGCCATTCCCATAGCCATGCATACCCACTTAATTTTGGTTCCTTACTGCAAAAAGTGCTGTTATGACTATTTTGGAATACTTTGGACTCTTCTTTCTTGTCTTTTACCTCCTGGGGAATATGCTCAGAAGCACTGGATTGTAAACTCCTTGAGGACAGGGACTCTTGTATTCCCAGCTTAATGTGAAACTATTAGTCTAGCATAGATCTCTTATTCAATTAACATGCCTTTATTAAGCTTAAGCATGTGTGAGGTGCTTAAACGTGGAGTGACTGGCATCCCTGGGTCAAAGCTATGACATTTTCTTAGCTTTCTTATGTTTTGTTTTTTGGCTATGGCTAAAGGAGCAAGCACAGGGCCTGCTGTGTCCTTGTAGCCTTTGTTGTCTATGTGGGAAGACAGGACAGAGGCATGAGAGCCTGGCCTGGTTGATGTACTTGAGGTTTAGGGGTGCTGGGACCCCAAGATCACAACACGCAGGGCCTGCTGCGAAGAATTCAACCCAAGCCTTCTTTCAGCCAAAGACAAGGTTTATTCAAGATCACCACATTGGCCAGACTCTTAAGGAATCTGAGCATCTGTGAGCTCCTAACAGTGGCTAGATTATGAGAATCTGAGCACTGTAATGGAGACAAGATGGACCTTCTATATAGAAAGCCTGGGAGAGATCTAGGAGTGGCCAAGTAATTTGCAGGGATTGTGAGGTAATAGACTTGGACCAAGGGAGAATGGAGCCTAGTTAGGATTAAGGCTGAGGGAAGTGAAGGGTGGGGGAGGCTAGGTTAAGGGTAACAGAATTGGGAGATTGGGTGTAGCCACAATGGAAGGCCAGTTGATGGGAGGGATTATAGATAGCCTCAGGTGGCCAGAGATTTGGCCCTGTGGGAAAGTCTAGGGTTTTCTCTTTTTTGGGTCCAGGGCCCGTCCTCATCAGTATTTACTACTCAGTTAGATTTGTAGGGCCTTTAGAATACAAGGTATTAAATGATCCCTGGTAGATGAGGTGGTCAGGGCAAGCTTTCTGTTCCTTCTGAACAAGTAATTTCTTTCAACACCAATGCCCTCCGATCCTGACGTTTCCAGATGAATAAAATCTGTAAATGAATTCTCTAGTGCCCTTATTTGATTTTGGAGACCTTAATTGTTGCTTCCATCATAGGAAAGCTACTCTATCTCCTGGATCATTTCTGTTAGATAAAACCCAGAGAAAATCAAACTCAGACATGTTTTATTTTTTACCATCTTTGAAAATGCTGATCTTAGTTAGTCACATGCCATGTGATCTCATTTGGAATAAGACTACTTAGACTTTATTACAATCTCTTGTTTTGATTTGCTCTATAACCTTAGACATTTCACTTTGGATTTTCATGGTCTGGTGGAAAGCATACTGGGCTGGAGGTCAGGAGACTTGAGCTGGCCAATTATCAAGTATTTATTGGCTGTCTAGTCTTAGTTCTTTAACTAATTAATTAGCTATGTGTCCTTGGGCAAGTTACTTCGTAGTTCCTGATCTTGCTTTCTACACCTATAAAATGAAGACATCTCATTACCTACCTTAAGAGACTATGAGAGCAAAAGGAGTTAACAAGTGAAAGTAATTTTTAAAGATTTTAAGCATTGAGTGCATTTTTATAACTCAAATCTTGTTTTTTTAAACTCTTAATAGTAAGATGCTATTGGCTAACACATTACATTGCTGAGATCGTTATTATGAATACAAGTGCTAATGAGATCAAGGATGGGTTTTAAAAAGGCAGCCTTGATTCCTAACTTCAGTGAGCCATCTTGCAGATGAGGGTGGTAGCTCACTAGCAGAGCAGATAAAGAAGGAAGAATTGAATTAAACTGCTTAGCCATGAAATGTTACATTGTATAGTAGAGAATATAAGACAGTATATTATAAGGTATTGCATGGTATAGATTGTAAGTGCCAAGGGAATCAGAGACAAGATGGCAGGAGATATACATAACACAATATGCACACTATTATCAATGATTTTTTTTTCTGTAAATGATGGCTACTTATTAATAAGATCATAGATCAAGCTGGAAAGGACCTGTGAGACCACCTCCAGTCCATTCCCCTTACTTTACAGTTGGAAACTGAGGCCTAATGAGGTTAAATGCCTAGCTCAGTGTTCACGAAGAATTTGAATCTAGCTCTTTGATTTTAGAATCAGCACTCTTTCCACTGCACCACACTGCCTGGATGAAGGAAAGTGAGAGAGAGAGAGATGGGGGGAGGTGTATGTGTGTGTGTGTGTATGTGTGTGTGTGTGTGTGTGTGTAAATACAAAAGGGTATTTAAAGTCCTAAGGTTAAAATTAGCTTAGTTTCCAGCTGGGTAAATAAGGAGCAGCATCTGCTGAAGTTCCTTAAATTTCCAGGGACAGCAAACAGCTCTTTTACCATTACTTGGCTATCAATGCAGAACTTAGTACTCCAGAACATCTGAGAGCTCAGTAACACGGACAGCTTTTCTGTTCTCACTGTACTGTGTGCTGAGCATGTAAAATGGTGCTCTTTATCCCACAGACACTGAGTAAATGATTAAGTAATTGAGCCAGTTCATGAACCAAGTGCAAATAGTTTCTACCTCACCCTTGGAAAAAATATTATATCATGAGCACCTGGACCTTGTCCAACTGATTTTTCAACTACAGCTCTCCCAAGTAACCCTCATACTTGTTCAAACACTTCTCTCTTCCTGAGCGGTTTGCTTCATTATCTACCCAGGAAAATTTCACCCTGCACAGAAAACCATGCAAAATACTTCTTGAGACAGTGACTTATAGTTGAGCATGGCAGTCAGCAGCCCATTCTACTGTAGGCCTGGCTGATGTCTAAAAGCCTGCTTGTCCTTTGGCTGTGGCCTGCAAGAGATGTGCTTGGCATGAAAAGAAGGAAGAAGTGAATGGGTGCTGTAGCACCAGCATGTTTGAAAGGACTATAAAGAGTAATTTATTATCCTTTTTGTTAGCTGCCATGGCAAGAGTTTCCTACTTGGTGGAAGAGGCTGGAATAAACTCACTACGTACACCCTAGTGAACATGGTCAGGTTTTGGATGGAGTAACTGTGAGCCTAATCACTTTTGTTCTCATTATTTTGCCTTCATAGAGATTGTTCGGCAGCAATGGTCTCTATGGTTTGCTTAATCCTCAAGATGAAGTCAAATAACCACTGAGTTTTAGGGCATAAGTATTGAAAGAGGATAGGTACTGGGCCGTACTGCCTGATGAAGATCATTTTCAAACATCTTCCCATCTGACCTCATCTAGATTCCCTCTCATAGCTGCAGAAGTTAGGATCACAGACATCCCAGCTGGAAAGTGCCTTAGAGGTCAGCTAGTTTAATTAAGGCCTAGAGAAAAGTTAGGTGACCTGCCCCAGGTCATACAAGTAGTGACAGGCAGAACTCAGGTCCTCTGACCTCTTGGTTAAAATAGATGTTCTTAAATTTTGAGATCAAAATGGGATTTCAGTAGTGGAAGTTCTTAAGGCCCGGTCTAGAAATTACTCTCAATTTAATCCCAATTTCAGTTTAGAATTTCTGACGATTTTCGGTAGTTGCAGAATTATTGATTTTAAGCAATAAACTATTTGAATTTTTTTATAGTTCATAAAATTAGTCAGTGAAAATGGGAAGTATAAGCCAGGAAAGCAACATGTTTTGAGTAGAGGAGGAAAGGCAAGGAAAAGGAATTGGCAGGAGTCTTTAAAGTCAGTTCCTTTCAACAAGTTTTTTTTTTAAGCAGTTCCTATTTGCAAGACATTGTAAACAATTAAATAGTCCTTGCTCTCAAGGAGCTTACATTCTACTAGGGGGATAGATCATATAAACAGATGAGTACATACAAAGTAATAGGAAGTAGCTTCTAGAGGAAGGGAGCATTAACTGCTGGGGTATCAGGAAAGACCTCATACAAAGTCATCCTTGACCTGTGCTTTGAAGGAAGATGAAGGTGAGTAAGGGGTACAGTACAGTTCCAACAATGGGGTGAGAGTAAGGAGTGGGAAATGAAATGCTCTTGTTTGGGGAACAGGAACTATGCCAGGAATGGAGCATGTGTGAGGGGGGAGTAAAATGAAATAAGGCAAGAAAGGTAGGTTAGAGCCAAAATAGTGGAGGGCTTCTAAATGCCAGGCTAGAGGGTTTGATATGTTCTGATGGCAAAACCACAATTTGCCTACATCTGGAATACTGTGCATTTCTGCTCAGTGAACCTTACTACAGCTGGAAGATACACAAAGAAAGGTAAGTAGATGTGTTCTACAGTTGCCATATAAGAGAAAAAACTGCACCCTTCAATATGTCTGTAGAATCATGAATTGAGTTGAACAGGTATTAAGATCCTCCTTTTTGCAGAACACCTTACTACGTCCTGGGGAGATGGAAAGTGTGGAAAGACACACAGTCCTCCACAGCCTTTGTGGGTATATACAATATGAAGTAATAGACCAGATGTGCATGAAGGGTATGAATGTTCATCAAAATGATGAAATCAGAACCAGAAGATGCTTGTTGACACTTGTTGATAATTATAAATGAATATTCCCATTTTTAAAGCTAGTATGAACCTTAGAGGTTAAGTCACTTGTCCAAAGTAGTCCTTGACTTCAGGTCCTCTTGCTCCAAATCAAACATTCTTTACCTGGTGACAACACAGAGGGACACTAGGCATATTCATCCCTTCCCATGTGCCCTAACCTAACCCAACCCCCCCCCCCCCAATAGATTCTCCACTGACCTGTTAGTTAGGGAAACAATTTTACCTTTAGAGAGTGTTACAATACTATCAAACATCCTTTGATAGCAGAACACTGAGCTGAATGGCTTGGTATAGCACTGTTTATGTTCTTGTTGGTTCACTGTCTCTTTTTAGATTTCTCCAAGACTCATAAACGTTTAAGCTTGTGCCTATGAAACACTGTGGAAACTGGCTGAGCGTATGCTAGGTTTTACTTAAGACCGTGCTATGGATGTTAGGGTATAAATAATATCTCAAGAAGGAAAACATTAGACCAGGAAAGCTGTCACAGTTAAATTCTGTTACATGAAGTTACACATTGCCCTCTAATCTATCATGAATTCTAATTTTCTTCTTTCTGCTTTCTTTTTCTTCTAGGCCAACACATACGAAAAGTATTGGCCATTTTACCAGCAGCATGGAGGCCAGTATTTTCCCAAGGAGCATCTGAAAAAGGCTGTTGCTGAAATTGAAGAAATGTGCAATATTTTGAAAATGGAAGGAGTGACTGTTAAGAGGCCTGATCCCATTGATTGGTCTTTCAAGTACAAAACACCAGATTTTGAGTCTACAGGTGAGTGGTATTCTGTAGTTAACTTAGCTCATGAAGTTCTGGCCAGAGGGAAGGCAGTGATGGATGCCCTTAGAGAAATTCCTTCCTACTCTAGTGAACTCTGCAAATTGTATACTAATTAAAAAATAATTTCCAGCAGTGAAATGCTGGAAACTTGTAAGTGATCTATTAGTACCATATTTTTAAAGCCATCCCAATTTGAAGATGGTTCATGGAGAAAAGCAAAATATTTCCTAAATTCTTCAATTGTGGTGTGATGGAACTGGATTTAGAGGACGAATGATAAAAAAGAGTCCTGGTTCAACTACTTACTCACTTTATGACCCTTTCACTTCTTTGAGCCTCAGTCTCTTTTATCTATAAAATGGGAATAATATTGGCACCACATACTTCAAAGGATTGATGGAGGAAAAATCCTTTATACTATAAAGCACAGTAGATGGGTTCTCTAAGAACTACAGCTTTCATTTTAACCTGTAGAAAAGCAAGGCATGAAGAGCATGTCCATTTTTGGTCTAGGAACTATGGAAACAGATGTAGCCATAGTAGAACCCTAGGTATTCTGAAGATGTGTGATTGTATTTCCATTGAACCCGAAGAGCAGAGTTTATTTGTAATCATTGACAAACTTCTCCCTTCAAATATTTAATTTCATACATTTCTTTAGCTCATGTGTGAACAGGTGAATACCATTAATCATTTTTCATTGTTTTTAATGGAATTTATTCAGTTTTCCTTTCCTTAGAACAGTGGCCCTTAAGTTATTAGTACTGACTTGTCTAACAATTAACAAGTCACAGAAGCAAAGATGTTTGCTGAGCTAGTCTTCTGTTTTATCTAGTTAATGATTTGAGAAAGAAAAATTAGGAAAAAAATAGATAAAAGAGCTTATTCAGGAAGGCTTCCTTCAGAAATTAGTTTCCTCCTTGGCTAATATCACTGCTACATTCTTGTGCTTGAGTTAAATATTCTCACTGAAAATTAGATCAAGCTGATTTGTAGCTTTCACACAATTACCTGAAGAAGCTTACCTTTCTGTATCACAAAAGATATGATACAAAGAAATAAATGGTTTTATAATGACAAACGGCAATATCCAGTGAGACCTGGAGGGAGCTCTAGTCTTATAGATAGGTCTTTTTATGGGAACATAGGATTTAAGGCTGGAACAAACCTTAGGGATCATCCAGTCCAATCCAATGTTAGAGATGAAGAAACTAAGGCCCAGAGAGGGACAGTGATTGCCCAGCGTGATACAGGTGCTAAGCAGGTATTGGTTTTATTAATATTTAATGCTTGTCAGTATAAACTATTGATCAAGTTCATTTCCCTTCATCGTATAGTCATATTTACCAAAGTGTTTTCCTTTCAACAGTCCTTTGAAATAGGTGTTATCGGGGCCGCTAGGTGGCACAATGGATAGAGCACCGACCCTGGAGTCTGGAGGACCTGAGCTCAAATCCGGCCTCAGACACATAACACTTAGTAGCTGTGTGACCCTGGGCAAGTCACCTAACCCCATTGCCTAGCCAAAAAAAGAAAAAAAAGGTATTATCTACAGTGACTTGCCCTGACATGATTGTAATAGCTTATAAATAGCGGAGTCCACCCTTGACCTGAATAATCTGTTTCTGAAAATTTGCTATTATGATTAAGACTTTTTGACCTTTTCAGGTTTATATGGTGCAATGCCCAGAGACATTCTGATTGTAGTTGGAAATGAAATCATTGAAGCTCCCATGGCATGGCGTGCACGCTTCTTTGAGTATCGAGCGTACAGATCAATTATCAAAGATTATTTCCATCGTGGGGCTAAGTGGACAACGGCCCCTAAGCCCACAATGGCTAATGAGCTTTATGACCAGGTACTTTCCTGTTTCAAAGTTAGTTAGCGTACCTTTTTCTACAGAGCCCATCAGAGAGATATTCTAAATTTTAAGAATGTTTTACTTTTAGCAGTTAAAAAAAATTTAAAATGTAAAGTCATACTTAGGTTCAGAAAATCAGTTTTACAAATATGAGATAGAGTCATTATCAGTAAAAGCTCAAAGTTGGTGTGTGGGGGGGATAATCATGGACTATGATCTTAAGATGAATCAGCAACATGACATGGCAACCAAAAACACTCATTTGGTCTTGGACTTCATTTAGAGAGGCATAGCTTGAGAATAAGGAATATTCTTACTGTACAGCTATAATCAGACCACATTTGGAGTTTTGTGATTTGTTCTGGTAACCACAGTTGAATAAAGATGTTAATAAACTGGAAAGTCATCAGAGGAAAAGACCTAAGTCCATGTCATAAAAAGGTCAAATGAATGAACTCTAGTTCATTTAGCATAGAGAAGATTTGTCATGTGGAAAGGACTGATTAGTCTTGTTCTATGACTCCAGAGAGTAAAACAAGGAGCACTGGCTGGAAGTTGGAAAAAGGACAAATTTAGGCTTAATGTCGGGATTTTTTCCCTAACAATTAAGAGTTATCCGAAAGTAGAATAGACTACTGTGTAAGATGGTCGCTTCCCTGTCATGGGAGGTCTCCAAGCAGAGACTAGTTGAGTTAGGAGTACACTTGTTTGAGTGTGCCATGGTAGGGATTCCTTTTCAGATATGGGTTAGACTGAATGGCGGCTGAGCTAGCTCACACTAACTTTCAAAGACCTTTTGCTGAGGAGAAGAAAAGTTATGATTTGCATTGTTGGAGAGAATTTCAAACCTAGTATAGGGGACCCAGAAAACTCATTCTATACAGTGTTAGCTTTAGTCCATGGACGAATAGCGAATTCCTTTTGTGAAAAGTATGGAATGACTTTGTTCTGGTCATTTCCAAGATTGTAGCTAACTATGTAAATCAATGTATGGCTTGGGGGAATGTGCTCTAGAGTTACTGAATATCAGAAATTGTTTACTACCCTAATTCAATACCTAAATTCACACGGACACAAATTTTCCACACTTTTCACATGCTTTCACTTAAATTTCAGAAATAATTAGCACAGTATTTCTTAAACAGCATACATCATGCTATTTGATTCTCAATTTGAGTTCAAGTTTAAACTGGTATTCTCAGTTGCATTAGTTGCCTTTTTTTTCTTCCTTAAAACCAGTGTATTGATTTTGGTGTTGTGTTTTTCCTGTTAGGATTATCCAATCTGCTCTGTAGAAGACAGACACAAATTGGCTGCTCAGGGAAAATTTGTGACTACTGAATATGAGCCATGTTTTGATGCTGCTGACTTCATTCGAGCTGGAAGAGATATTTTTGCACAGAGAAGCCAGGTAGAGAAAAGCTGTATCTAAAATGCCATGCTTTCTTGTATGTTTTGTATTTTAGTATAAATTATTAGTCTACTTCTAATGGCATGTCTTTATAATTTTCTTGTTTTCAGGTAACTAATTATCTGGGCATTGAGTGGATGCGTAGGCATCTTGCTCCAGACTATAGGGTGCATATTGTCTCCTTTAAAGATCCCAATCCAATGCATATTGATGCCACCTTCAATATCATTGGACCTGGTCTTGTGCTTTCCAACCCTGACCGGCCCTGTCATCAGGTAAGAATGACACTGGAAATAGCAAGTCATCTTTTTCCATGCTAAATAACCTCTTTCTTCATCTGACCTTCATTCCTTCACCATTCTGATTCTCCTTCTCTGGACAGTCTACAACTTAGTGTCCTTCCTAAAACGTAGCGCCCAGAACTAACAGCAATACTCCAAATGCAGTCTGACCAGGGTACAGTGCAGTGGGAGTATCAACTGCCTGGTCGTGGAAATCCTCCTTCTTGGCTGCTCCAACACAAAGTTCAAGCTCACTGAGCTTACAGTGCCCTAAAACCCCGGGTCTTTTTTACCAAATGTTCTTCTGATGTAGGGGGTTTTTTGTCCTTCAGCCAGAGGAAAAGTTTATTAGTGATAAAACACTAAGGGCCAGGTGACGCCTGTAAGGACGAGTGGGCGTGAGAGGTTCTCAGCCTTTTGAGTGTGAGATTCTCTGCCCCGAATGAGGGCCGGGGTAAATCTTATACACTAAAGTGACTAGGGAAGGGTCTGGGAAAAGGGTCTGGGTGAGAATTCCCAGAGACTGGAATGTCTAAGAGATTGAATAGACAATGGGAATAGATAATAAAGGAACTGAAAGGTATCTGAATGAGATTAAAAGGTAGGCTAAAGCTTTCAAAGGGGGATGAGGGGCTGGGGCCTGTAGACAGAAGGGGAGCCAGATTCCCTTTGGGGCAAGGGGCAAAGACCTCGGCTTGGGCAACACCCCATCATTCCCCCCTCAAACAAATCTGACCCAAATTCTTTTGGGGAAAGGGGCGAAGGTCTGGACTTCTGAAACTGCTTCCTGCTGGCAAGGGGCGTAGAGCTGTCCCTGCCTCTCTGGGTCCTGTTTGAGGGGTCAAACTTCAAAAACCCCGGCTGATGCCAGGTTCAGCGGGGCAGAATCCTCAGGTTGGTATACAGCCTGAGCAGTCATCTGGAAGTTGATGGCTCCAACCCTGGAAGAAAGGAATCTGGCAAGAATATTTAGTAAACATGGACCAAACAAACACAAAAATATGATCAGTAGTGGAATGAGAATAGGAACCAGTATAGAAAGAAGCCAGGACTCCCATGAAAAAGATTTTGGAGCGCTAAAGTTATTGTGAATTTCTTTGATGTAGGGTTTTTTAAGCTCATCAAGGACAGCTGTGTGTTCTTAATATCTCTGCTTACCTTGGTTATAATTTATTAGCAATTTTTGTTCTGAACTTTCTAATCCAAAGATCATCAAGCATTAAATTCTGCCTTATAACATACAAATTGTATCATACCCAGCATAAATTAGTCATAATCTGAATGTTTGAAAAATAACTGTTAAAGATAAGAAATATTGATGACATTTCAGATGGAATTATTGATAAGGGCTGACAGCAAGAAATTAAACCTTTTTGGATTTTTCTTTTAGATTGAACTTTTCAAGAAAGCAGGATGGACCATAGTTACTCCTCCAACTCCAGTCATCCCAGATGGTAAGAATTCCTTTCTATTGTGAGATTAACCCTGGATTTTGAACTTATTTATATGAAGTACAAAGTTAAGATTTGGGAAAATATTTTCCCCAAAAAAGTAGTTCAGGACTCTCTTCTTTAGAGCATGGAAGTGAAAGGGAAAAAAATTGGCTAAGTAGAGGGAAATTTAAAATATAGTATTGTGAAATACAAATGTGTAATTATTAGAGACCGATACATTTTTATATTTGTGTAAAAGATTATGAAGAAAGTTCAGAGGACTCCTAGGGAAAGGAATTACTACTAGCATGAAAGTACTATCACCCTATCCTTGTGCTTTTTTAATAAGAACCTCTCATTTAAGTGGAAATAAGAATGGGTACTGAGACAATTATTGGTTTTCTTTTTAGACCACCCACTCTGGATGTCATCCAAATGGCTCTCCATGAACGTCTTGATGTTGGATGAAAAACGTGTTATGGTAGAGGCCGATGAAGTTCCAATTCAAAAAATGTTTGAAAAACTGGGTATGTTCAATATGTCAAAAGATTACATATGAAAGAGTTTTTAACAAGATTGTAAAATGATCTTAAAAAAAAACATTCTGGGTCAGAGCAGTATTTTATTTCTAACAGTGGTACCAAGGGACATTTTGTGGAAGGATATTGTATTTCGCCCTTCATGATCTCAACCTAAAGTACATGTCTTCAAATATATCTAACTTTCCTTAGTAACCAGTTATTTAAGTTCATATATAATAGTTCTCTAAACCCTTCAGGGACCAATGAAAACTTTATAGCTCATGTGGGAACAGCTACTTTGTAGGTAGCCTTGTGGATTGATCGGTTATGTTTAAATGGGGGAAACATTTAAATTACTTAAATGTACTACTTAAGTGAGCTACTTAAAAGTAAATGAAAAATAATGTAATTTTAAATATTATTAATAATCATTATTATAGTTTTGAAAGGGATTTTTGAAGGGCACAGGTCTTCATATGGCTCTTAAAATATGTATTTTCCTGTGAGTATACTCAAGGCTGTGCCATGTTCCCTCTTCTGTCCCTTCTCTGCACTTTATGACTTCCATGAAGGTTACTTCCAGGTTTATGTATCCATCCTTGATCTATGTCCTGAGCTTGAGTCCCAGACACCTGCCTATTAGACATTTTGATCTGGATGTCCTGTAAGCACTTCAATCTCAATGTGTTCAGATCAGAATAACCAACCCCTCTTCCTAACTTCCTGCTTTTATCGAGAGTACCACTCCCCTCCCAGTCACTCTGAGTGGGAGTCTACTCTCCAATGGCTGCCACATGTTGTCACTTTTACCTCTTATACTCCTTACTAGCTCTTACATACAACTCCCAACATATAACTCCCCTCTTGGTACCTTTGTAGACAGGCTGTTAATTTTGTCTGGAATACATTCCCTTTTCACCCCTGCATTTTAAAATCCTTAGCCTCCTTCAAGCTCAGTTCCAAGTGCCTCCTCCTCCTCCATGAAGCTTTTACTGATACCCAGCTGGTACCTCTTCCAGAATTATCATAACATGATTATGTATAATTAGCATAACAGCTAACTTGTAAGCCAGTCCCAAGTCTGCCAGTCCCAAGTCTACCAGTCAAAGGTTGTTTTGTCTTTCTGTCTTTTAAAGGAGATATCACTATCTTCGTATTACTTGGAATATTAGTCTGTTTTAGACTGAGTTAGGAAGAAAACCTAATTTCCCATCTACATTCCTACCCACTGCCACCTAGCTGCCACTATATATCACTGGTAGACTTAAAAAACCAGGATTTCTATAATTTACAATCTTCATTTTCAAGAATTGTGAGGAAATCTGGTAAGATACAGTATCTTGTTTAAATCTTGTATCTTTGTTTTCATGCAGGTATTTTGACAATCAAAGTTAATATTCGTAATGCCAATTCATTGGGAGGAGGTTTCCATTGTTGGACCTGTGATATTCGTCGACGTGGCACCCTGCAATCCTACTTTGACTAGAACTGGCCAGATGAGTGGTGGTGGCTTGAAATAAGCCTAGTAAGCTTAGGTATAAGCTTCATTCTACTGCTAAAACAAATGCATGAGCTAGCTATATAGTGCTTTAAGCAATCATGTCCTTAACCCCAGAGTCTTGAACCTCGTTTATTTTCACTCTCTTCCATATAAGGGGAAAAACCTAATTGCTAAGTCTTTGGGCTGACTTTTTGAAACACTTTGTTTTTACTCTTGAAGTCCTATTCACCTTGGCTTCAAGTGTGAATTTGACAGTGTGTTTCAAGGCAAAGGTTAGCTGCTAGAATGACTTGGCCACTAATGTTTAACCATCTACCTCTGTTTAATTTTCTGTCCATAAGGCGGCTTGAAATGATAGCCCTGGGTTTAACATTCTTTTTTTTTCTCTGTTAAGTAGTGTTATATTTAATTTTCTATCCAAAAGGCAGCTTGAAATGATAGCCCTCTGTTAAGTAGTGTTGTATACGTCACTTTTTTCAAAATAAGAAAAGTACTTTAGTCACATTTTAAGTACCAGATAACTGCCTCTTTTTCTAACAGTATTTTGGGTGAATTTTTTATTTCCATTTTTTAAGATAAGCTAAACTATGCAAACATCAAAGGGAATTCTCCAGGAATTTAGTTAATATTCTCATCTCAACATTTTAACATTAGTGTTATTTGCTTCTAAAAACTTTCATATGACTTACCTCATTTCAAATGAAATGTTTTGTCCACATTTCCTGTTATTTCTAAGGTTCTTACAGAAATAGATATAATTGTAATTTCCCATCTCTAACTTTTTGTGTTCAGTAGCTATACACTACTACATCTGCAAGTTTTCTTTCTTTGGTAAGTTAAGATGTTTACGTAAGTGCAGATTCTTTAAAGCATAGCTGAGAGATAAGAGTATTCAGTAATTAATGGAAAAGAACCTATATGCAATTACATATGACCTGGTTTTAATGTTGGAGACCAGACATGTATTTTTTATGCTAATAAAAATTGTGTTCAAAACAAACCATATCATCTTCCTGAATCTGTGATGTGAACTTTATTTGAGGGAGTTATTGATTTCTGGGCATCAGTAATAGCAACTTGTTCAGTAATATTTGGGAAATTTATAAGGATAAAATGTTATTTCTACCACTGCTTAGAAGAGTTCTTCTTCCAGTATTTTAATACAATGTATATAACCTAATGCTAGTCATGTAAATTACTTGAGCAACCTTAAAATGGCTTGCTTTCAAGTTTTAAGCCCCATATTCAAATCCTTTTTAGCTTGGTAGGCCCTGTTAAAACTTGTACTACTGTGCTAGCCTAACCTTTTAAGGACTTATAGTTATCTTTATGCCACAAGACACAAGGTGATCTGTTCATTAGGTGGGAGGGGATTTCCAGCTCTTCAGATTCTACTTTTCTAGTTAACCAATAATAGGTTGAGCTAAAAGATTATCAATACTTCCAGCTTTATTGTTCCATCCTTCTCCATTATATTTCACTATGGCATCCATACTATCTATAGATAAATGCCGCAGCAAAATCTCCATTTAACCCTTTCATCCATCTCCTTCAAGATCCTATGAATGTTTAGGAGGAGTTCAATAGAACCCAGATTGGCAGATCTGCAAAGAGCAAAAATTGTGATGATTTCTGCTCCTTACCTGAAAAAAAACATAGGAGAAGCTAGTGTTCCTAGCCTTTCCATTTTAAATATGAATAAACCTTGGGCAGACACAAGCTGAATGGGAAGACACAAGAGTAAGTACTCTTCTCTTCGGTGGTGGAAGAGGGGAGGAGTCCCTAGGTTTCTTTTGTTTACCTGTTTAGGTATCTGTGAACATTGCACTTTTTTTTTTCATTTGGAGAAAAAATCAAAGAGAAATAGCCAGAAGAATTTTCTTCTAGTATGTTTCAATCTGCATTCTAACTCCATAGTTCTTTGGATATAGATAGCACTTTCCATCATGATGCCTTTGGAGATGTCTTAGGTCCTTTCATTGCTAAGAAGAGTTAAGTCTGTCAAAGTTAGTCATAGCACAACATGGCTGTTACTGTGTACAATGTTCTTTGGTTCTGCTCACTTCACTCAGCATCAGACCATACAAGTCTTCCCAGGTTTTTCTGAAGTCTGCCTGTTCATCATTTCTTATAGCACAATAGTATTCCATTACATTTATATACCACTCTCGTTCAGCCATTCCCCAACTGATGGGCATCCTCTCAATTTCCAATTCTTGTGACACTACAGAAAGAGCTGCTATAAATATTTTTGTACATGTGGATCCTTTTCCCATTTCCATGATCTCTTTGGGACATAGCCCTAGCAGTGCTATTGCTGGGTCAAAAGGTATGCACATTTTTATAGCCCTTTGGGCATAGTAACAAATTGCTCTCCAAAATGGCTGGATCATTTCACAACTCCACCAACAATCTATTAGTGTTGCAATTTTCCCACATCTTCTCCAACATGAGTTCTTGTACTGAGATAGCTGCTTATAGGTCACCAACTCATTCGGGAAGAACTTTTTTCCCAACATCTCTGTCACCATTGGACAGTCTTACAGTCCACACCCATTATAAAAGCTATGGGTCGCAAAACATATGAGCAGATGACCTGAGAAATAAAAAAGGGAAATAAATAGAAAAAGGAAAATGGTAATAAATTCCTCTATAACCAGGGTTTGGTCCTTCCCAGATTGGCCCTTGAAAAAACTTCCCTTCTTTAAGATTAGCCATCAGACTCTGGGTAGGGCACTAGTAGTCTCAGCATCAAAGTCCTGTAAGAATCCATTTTATCACAGCCTCAAGGCTGGACATGGCGTTTTCTCTTCTACCCCAAAGCCACTCATACTGGCATGGGGCTGGCTCCCTTGATTCAAAAATCGAGGACTTGGGGCACAAGCACTGCTCTTGTAACTAACTGACTACTTCTAGAAAAACTAGTCATTCCTTATGATGATGTAATATATGACCTGGAAGCCGAGTCCCTGTATGATCACCATCTGCCTTAGTCAGGAGAGGGCTGTGTTGATAAAGGCTAATAGAGCCAGGAATGCAATCAACTTGGCAGCAATGTTAGCAACAAGTCCTACTGAAATTACTGCTCCATTGATAACAGCTTCCAAAAAATTCTGTGCCTCCCTGCTGGGATGAGGAATTATTTGTACTGAATTCTTTTTAAACATTAGAGACTAAAGAGATCTGTCCCTACCTTGTCAATTCATAGTCTGATTTGGACAAACAGGAAATTCTTGCTTAGTGACAGCCCGAGATGAGGAGCCAAGAAATCACAAAATCAGATTCTCAGAAGTGGAAAATGCTTCCAGAGCCATCTATCTCAACCTATACCTGAACAAGAATACCTTTGACAACCTCTGACAAATGATTATCCAACCACCTTTGGATTACGTCCAATTACGTACAATCCAGTGACAGGGTACTTACTCCTGTTTCTTGAGGCATACCATTCCTCGTTGGTATGTCCCTCTATTAGATCTGAACCTTGCTCTTGGCTACATCCGCCAGCTGCTCTTGGTTCTGTTCTCTAGGACCAACCAGAACAAACCTACACCTTCTTCTATATAACAGCCCTCCAGATACCTGAAGACATGTGTCTTTTCCTGACTAAGCACATTAGCCAGAGCATTTGATAGATAACATGGGTTTCTTGAGAATTATAAGGATGGGAAGTAGAAGGTTGCTAGTTCAGAAAGGATGGAGGAACACATAGAACATTTAAAGGCAGAAGTAAAAGGAGACAAATGAGCACGTACAAAATGGAAAGCACAACAGAATGGAGAAGAAGAGGCAGAAAGAAGCAGTGGGACAATATGGAACAGTGATAATGATATGAACACATTTTTACAATTCAGAGAAAAATAGGAAAGTCAGGAAATTTTAGAGAATGGCGAGGTGGCATTCCCGTAAAACGCTTATGGAAAGGAAAGCAATTTTTGCAAATGACTTCAAACAAGAATCTGTTAAGTCAGATCAGGTAAAGAAGAGAAAGGTGGTATCTACAGAATTGCTTCTTGAGCAGTTCATATGAAGGTCACCATTTCTTCCCCAAGTATTGTACTGGAACAACTGCTTATATGGGGACCGTAACCATCTTTTGTCAACTCTCTGTACTAAGATGACTGCCACTCCTTTCCCATACTTGCCTGTATACTTCTAACCTCTTTAACTCTCTTCATCTTATTGGCCTCAGCCATGTAACAGTATTACCCCCTCCTCTTTCTTCAACTTGGAGACTTCCACTTCTGGGTAAAGCTACTTGGACAAGGCAGGAGCACAAGGTGCAGCCATTACAGAGGCAGCAATCAAAGATGTGGGTGGAGTCAATCTGAAAGACCATTTAACAGGGCTTGGTTCCTATGCCAGAAAGTTCCAAAAGGAAGGAGGGAAGGTGTACTTTGCTTTCCCAAACCAAGTTGGAGAAGTCCTTGAATAAATTGGGTTTATGTTTAAGAAGTATCATAGAAAAAAGAGAAACACTGGATACAATATTGCCCTCAAACATTAGATTTCCTTTTTTTTCTAGTGTGTCATGAGAATGTTTCCTCTACTAGATCAACTCAGCATTGTCTTATCTACTATGGGAATTACCCAAGCAAGAATTAGATTTCTTTATAGATAATGGAGAGATGTTCCCAGTGTTAATTTAGCACACAATTGTGATTTCAATAGGATTACATCTGATGCAATTAAATGTAATTAAAGAACTAATTAAGAAATGCCATGTACCAAGTTAGCTTATCTTTATCCAGATGTATGCTTCTTGTTAACATCTTGGGGAATTCTCTTAACAACACTGGAAAAATGCAAAGCAGGGTAAATTTCTTTCTAGTATCCCTGGTACAAAGGCAACTACATACAGCATCTGCATACCTAAACTTCTGGCTGGTGTTGTACCGAGAAATCAGCAAGCGAGACCCAGACGTCATTTGAAATGTGGGTTTATTAGCACGCGGCTGCAAGGGGTACACACCCAGATCAAGCAGCCCCGATCAGGGGTAGAGCTGGGGCTTATAAAGGCAGAAACCACAAAGTAAATGGTCAGGGGTTGCTTAAGCAGGAAATTACAGAAGCCAGAATCAGCCATTGG